AAAAGACCACCATGATCACATTAGTTTTAATCCTTCACACACATCACTGAAGAAATATGAATGCATTTGATTACTAGATGCTGCTCTGAATCCTGTGGTAGTATGCACAGAAAATATAGGATTTACAGAGTATGAAGGATATACCCTATATTATATTTCTGTAATCTGAGAGACTGTATTTCAAAGTACATCTAAGGGACTATGGATCAGTGGCTGTGGGATCAGTATTTCAGAATGGTGGTATGAGTTCAGATGAGATATTGGGGTTCAGTGAGCAGGGTATTTGGGTTATCTCTGACAAAAGTTACAGCATTCTGTTCCCCTTTTGTTAGAAGGCAGCCTGAGGGGCACCCCAGGGCCCTAAACCTGCATGCTTTAAATGGGTTCTGCCATCTGCCACATAAAGACAAACATACCCTTAGGCTCCCACCAATTTATCTCTCATAAATTTTGAAATATCCTAATAAACTGGTTTCAATTGAGGAACATTTACTATGCATAATGTAGCAGTATAATATTGAGGTGAGGTTGGAGGCATAGAAGTGAAAGAATTTATCAGAGACAGAGTGGACATTAGAAAAGAACTTTAATATAATTAGTGAGAATATAGTTAGAGAAAGAATATAGTTAAAATAGTTTCCCCATGGAACACCCAAAGTTACCCATCCCCTTCTGAGTAAATGTCCGGTCAAATAGGGTTGGCCCAAAGCAAGGCCACTGAGGCCCAAAAACTTGCCATAAGTCTAAGGCAACTTCTAGTGGGGATCCATAAGAAAAGAGCAGAAAGGACCAGACAAGTTTGGAAGGAAAAGAACAAAATCAAAATGCAAGTCAAGATAAAGGCTGCCACTGTCAATCTCCCCATGGGTCTCTCACTTACCTCTCTCTCGAGTATCTCCTTCCATGTTCCCCATGGTCCTCTTCCCAATCTTCTGTTCATTCCTCCCATTTTAGCTTCTTGGTGTTTCGCTCCCCTCTTCAGTAGGTGGGGCAGGTGTCATGCAACCACCCCAGGAGGGGTAGATTGATTGTCAGTTATGGTAGTTCATTTGGTGGATCTTGCAGTCCTTTAATGCTGAGACAGAGGACCATATGCACAGGGCAGGCAGACAGAGCAAGAGAGACTCCAACACTGAGAGAGGGAGAACAGCAACTCCTCTGCCTAAACCCCTTTACACTGCTAAGTGGCCATGGCTACACAACTGCCCAGGGCCTTGCAAATGTAAGGCCCATCTGTTGTTTGCCAGATCTCCAAATGGTGGAAAATATAGCATTTCAAGGTATGGGCTTTCTGTTGTGTGAAAGGTGAAAAATAGCCTGATTTTATCTCATTTTCCTTACAGTAGGCAACCTGGAACCTCCCCTTTCTGTAGGGATTACGCCGCTACACTTTCAGCAGCACATGGTGAGTTTACCAAGGTGTAAAAAACATATGCACAGACACAAGAAGGCGAAGGTTGTAATAGGAAGAAATATCGGGGTGAAACCAGAGGCACACGGGTTAAAGACTTCACCAGAGACAGGATGGAGAATGGAAAAGGCAGATTTATTGAAATATCCTGCAAGAGAGCAGGGGGCAAGACAAGAGAGATCTGTGCACTAAGAAGGGATTAAGGGGCCTCCCCTGGTGGCGCAGCGGTTGAGTGCTGGGCTGCAAGGCTGCCTGCAGCCTCTACAGCACCAGTTCGATCCCCAGCCACTGGGCCAGGGTCCACATGGCGCGACAGACCTCTCCTGTCTCGCCCGCTGCTCCCCTCAGCAGTGTATTTCGTCAGTCTGTCTGTTCTGTTCCCTGCTCTGGCTCTGGTGAATTCTCTCACCCTCCCGCGCTTCTGACTGTACCCAGTGCTTGTATAAATAAGACAGGATTAAGGCTTTTTTCTTTAACTTGTCATCTGTGGGATGTCTAATCTTGGCATTGACCTTTGACACAGAATGTGTCTTGTCCCTTCTTCTGCATCCATGGGCAAGGTGATTGGCCTCATGATCCATGGCAACCTTATAGATTTCCTTTATTCTATCCTCCCAAAGTTGCTTGCTGGGCAAGGAATGGGGTCTTAGTTTTTAATCTTATTAAATGTTACCCTGACAAAGATTATATTCAGAAGGGCAGATTTATTCGAGAAAAAGAGAGAAGGTGTTTGCATTGACACAGAAATTTGGTGGGCAGAAATTTGTATTTGAAAGAAATCAGTTTGTTGGGGCCTCCCTGGGTCCTAAGGGTTAAGTCTCAATGCTATCACCACTATGGCCTCAGTTAAATCCCCAGCCAAGGAGCTAACTCACACAGAGCACAGCAGACCTCTCCTGACTTACCTACTGCTCCCTGTAGCAGTGTATTTCAGTAAATCCACCTGTTCTGCTCCACACTCTCTCTCCGGTGAAGCTTCTCGATCCGCACAACTCTGGCCAATACCCCAGTTCTTCTACACCAAGAAAAATAAATTAATTTAGTTAAAAAAAAGAAAGAAACAGGTTTGTTAAAAGAGATGCCTGCATAGACACAGGCAGGTGGTCTTGGGAGGAGAGCTGCATTTTGCCAGGGCAGGATTTGTTCTTACATAGTGGTCCTTTTTAGAGGAAGGAGTTCATTCCTTTGTGAAATTTTTTATTTATTTATTTATTTATTTATTTATTTATTTAGTCAAAGATTTATTTATTTATACATACAAGAACTGGGGTACAGGCCAGAGGTGTGGGGGGCTGGTGAGAGGATTCACCAGAGACAGAGTGGAGAACAGAACAGGCAGATTGACTGAAAGACACTGCTGGGGGGAGCAGTAGGCGAGTGAAGTGGGTAGCTACCTGGCCGGGGATCCAACTTGTGCTGCAGTGGCTGTGGATAGCTTCATAGGCTGCGTCTTAACTCCTTGAGCCACCAGGGAGGCCCCTTTGTGAAATTTTTAATCTATTGTTAAATTAATCACTTCTAGGGTGTGATTGGGTTAATCTGTAAGGATTGGTGATTCTCTGGAAAGGCCCTCAATCTCTTTATCTCCACCCCTGACCAATAAGAATTTTTATTTATTTATTTATTTGTTTGTTTGTTTTTTGTGGGACCCTCACCGGTGGCCTGGGATCGAACTGGCACTGCAGAGGTTGTGGGCAGCCTCGAAACCCAGCGCTCAACTGCTGTGCCACCAGGGGAGGCCCCCAATAAGAATTTTTATATAGCTTTCCTTTATAACGACTGTCAACCCCATATCCCCTTTTCCAGCTATGGAGATTTTCCATTTCTATAGCTGGTTTAATGCCAATGTTAATTACTTCTACCCCCATCTCCAGTTTCTGGTCTTGTGATTCCTCCATCCTAAGTTTTCTTCCATTACTGGGAAGTTCTCTAGGGCACGGAAGTGGTGAGCTCCCTTGGCCCTGGTATGTTTTCCTTTTCTCTCTGGGTAGCTCAATCACAGGCAGGCACATTTGTATCTTGAAAGAAATGATTCTCCCACAGACCAGAGCTGTACTGAGGCATTGAGAGTCCTTCCTTCCGTCAATCAGGCTGGCTATACCATCTTCAACAGGACTAGAGGGATAAACGCAGTTGTTAATTGGAATGAAAGTCTCAAATGTTGTTAGACAACGAGTTTATTAGATAATCAAAGTGAAGACTTGAGCCCACAGATTAGTCTGACAGATATTGTCTTTGAGTGTTCCAACAGCACTCAAAAATTGGGTTTAGTTTATATAAACAGGATGAATGAGTCATTGACACACACACACACACACACACACACAAAAGTACTTATTCTTGGGGGAGAGGAGAACTTCTGGTCTAAATTATTTTCACCTAAAGATATGTTGAGGCTATCTACGCACAGAAGAAGTCTGGGGCTAATCTCTTCTTTTCTAAAGAACACACTCCTTATACAGTGATAAAAGGAAGTGTCTCTCACCAGATAAGCATTCCTATTTCCTTTATTTACCCTCCTTGTTTAACAAACTTGCCTTAACAACCTTGTCTTCTTACATTCTGCAAAGAAAGAACATTCTTAAGAAGGTAATATGGAACACCAGTTGTTAACAAAGGAGGCTGGTGCCCACCCAAATCTCTGCAGAAATCTCTAGATGCCTGCATCTAAAAGGACATGCTGACCCTCGCCCATTTCCCCTTTTTGCTCCTTTGAATAAATACCCCTGCACTCTGCCAAAGAGTAAGATGGCAGACTTTCAGACAAGAGTCTGCCACCCTCCTCAGTTTGTTGACAAATTAAACTACTTTCCTTCTCCTCTAACTCTGGTTCCTTTTATTGGCTAAGGGAAAGGAGATGGCATTCAGTAACACTCCTGCGATACAAAAACTGGGTACCATTGTTTCTCTTTTATTATTCTGGTTCCTTGCTCATTAGTGGGGTCTGAAAGGCTGGTTTACCAGCAGGCAGCAAATTTTGGGTACTGCTCACAGACTTCAAGTCTGTATATATGGTGGGGCCTGTGGTGTTGGCAGAACATTTTACAATATGCTCACACAGGTGAGGTCATGGAAGCATAAAAGCACTTGGAGGTACATTTGTCCTAGTGTGGGTATCACTTATAAGTTCATTTTTATTCTAGGGCTTTTAATTTAATCATACCGCACTTAGGGAGCAAACTGCTGCTGAGGACACACACACACACACACACACACACACACGCGCGCGCACGCTCAGGAGACCCTGTGGAGGAGTACTGTCTGAATTCAAATTCTCAAATAAGTGCACCACTTAAAAGAATTAGAAGAGAAAACGCATAGTGAGCAGCTAATAGGGGCTGGGTTGGGTTCCTCAAAATCACGCACAAGCCATGCAAGATGCTGGGGCAGAAGGGGGTGGGGAAGCAGAGCATAAAATGCGGTGCCGAACCCTGCACCTCCACACCTCTCCAGCCCAGGGTGGCCTCTGGTGGTCCCACAACAACCCCATCTCAGAAGCTCCGAACCCGGCCAAGCCCGCCCCTGGCCCGCCACGTTGTTTCCGGTCTCGCTACTAGACTTCCGGTCGCCAGGGGCGGGGCTTCCGCCCGTGTAAGCAGCCGGCCCGGAAGCGGTAGAGGCGGCTGTGGCTGCACTGGAATCGCGGAGCCATGGCTGTGAACCTGAGCCGGAACGGGAGGGCTCTGCAGGAGGCCTACGTGCGGGTGGTCACCGAGAAGTCCCCGACTGACTGGTGGGCGTCGTGGCGGGCCGCACGGCGGGCCGGGGGGGGAGGTCGAGGGCCGCGGAGATGGCTGCCGCAAGTTTTCCTGTGCTCACCTGCCGGGGCCGGAGGGTGCTGTTCCCTCTCTAGTAATTCTTTACTCTGCCTTCTGGGGGTGGGGTAAATCCGGCTAGGGCCCTAGGTGAGTCCACTACAACTACCCCTTTGGTCGCTGGTCCTGGCGCCCTGGGCTTCCCCGTGTTCTGTGTTTGATGGCTTCTCCAGGCTCACCTTTCTTGCCCTGAGTCTTCCCCGGACAAAGGGCCCTGCACAGCCCTCTCTTGAGAAAGCGGAAGCCGCAATCCGCTTCTTCTAAATACTGTGTTCTGGGACGGGTGTTTTGAGAGAGGTCTGGCAGCCCAGCTGGAGCCAAACGAGGAATTCAGGGCTTTGGATGCTTGGTTCTCTGTAATATGAATTTTAGAACTTGCCTTTCTGCAAGAACACAGCTCCTTCCTGGGCCCAGGCGAGCCACGGGGAGATGAATTAAACAATGATGCTGCTTACCTGCTTGGGAAAAAAGTCCCATCTTCCATCTATCACCCCTTGACATCCTCCTGTCGGTATTTAGGTCTCATCATGTAGGTGAGGAGGCTTTACTCCTAGAGATCTGGATCTGAAGTTTCTGGTATAGCCCTTGGCAGCGCAAACGTGTGGTCTGTTCTATGTTCTGCACCCACCGGTAGCAGTGTATGGTAATTCTTTCTTATTTGGTTAAATTGTTTCTATAACCAGTTGTTTCTTTAACCAATTGTTTATTTGGTTAAGTTGTTTCTTTAACCAATTGTTTATTTGGTTAAATTGTTTCTATAACCCATTTTGATAACTTCCAGCTCTAGAAATATGTTGAGTATGGTGGACTGAGTTGACCAGCATTGGGAAGCCCATTGCCTGTGCTGCTGTGACTGGCTTGTCTTCACTTAAAAAGTGCCTGCTTTCTCTTCTCTGCCTTCTCGGGTCCCCAGCACAGAGTGACTTTCGTTAATTCTACTGTTGTGACATTGAGGATATTGTATTCTGGCCTTTTCTACACCTTGAGTCCTTTGGGGAAGAACTTTAGAATACCAGTTACCTGGGTCTGCAGAATCTCTGCAGACTCCTCTCATGTCTGGGAACAGGTTGATGTGGACACCCTGCATGGCACTTGTGCAAAATTTTGCAGGGAAGCTGACTAAGCAGCTGAGTAAGCAAGAGCTAGCTAATATTCTCTGGAACACGTCTGTTCTAATTAGGAGACAGTGTCTGGTAACAAGTAGTTTTTCTGCCTTCTCTTCTTTATAATCCCTCGGTTTCTAGAGGTCAGCCCTCCACCCTGCCTCCTAGTTTCAAAGGGCCCTTAGTCCTCTGCCTTTACTCTAAACACTGCTTTAAGTATCTCCCCACTGAGTGCTCCATCTTCACATCCACATATGGTCACCTAACTTTAGAACCCAAAAGCATCTTTGCCCCTCTGCAATTCTACCTAATTAGGGTTTTGCTCCTTTACTGCCTTTTAATATGTGCAGCCCTTTCTGACCCCTAGGCCTTCTACTGATTTCTCCTTCCAGGTCTCTGTCTTTATCCTCAGTCTTCTCTGCACTGTCCCTGGTTTGGGAATGATATCCCACAGCCCAGTCTTCTATCTGCTCACGTCTCCCATAGTTCCAACCTTTCTTTGGGCTTCTTGCAAGAGCTGTCTGCTACCATCCCATCTCCTCTCTGTCCCTAATGAGAGTGCTAAGCCTCCTTTTTCCTCTCATCCACTCAGAATCCACTCATCTGACCAGTCTCCTCACCCATCCCCAGACTCCTTTTGCACTTACGGTCATTCCTCTCAGCAGCATGAACAACTGGCCCCCACCACCACTGTCATAGCCATTAAGTATTTCAACAGATACCTTTGTGGCAGGTTCCCATTCATTAGCTGAAGAAATGTCTAGACCATGTCACTTCCTCTCTTATAACTGAAGTGGCTTCCTGTTGCCCATTATAAACCCCAGACTTCCCCACCCAGCCTGACAAGGCTTCTGACCCCCTGTGCTGCTGCCCCTCCCACTTACCACATGGTGGCCACACCTGTTTACCACCATGTTAGCTTCTTTCTCTTCCTCAAATTTGCAAGACACTTCTTCGTGAGAGGCTTTGCTTTTGCTGCTTCCTCTCCCTGGAGTACTCTTCTACATTATTTCCCCAAAGTTCACATCTCAGTATTGAGGTTGACGTCTTGGAGAGGCCATTTTTTATTTTTAGCACCTTGGCTGTAGTCACATTTTCCTATTAACCTGTGTGACTTCTGCTGGCCTTATGCCAGATACCCTTCTTGGTTTTTCTTGTCACTTTTCTTAAGTGTTGAGGTGGGCCCTGTCTCTGTCCCCAGTGCAGGGCTGTAATGTATCACCTGATGCTCAGATGAAGGATGGACTGAGGGATATAGAAACGATGGTAGAGGATATCAGAGCAAGAAGAAGAGGTCTCCAGTTTGAAGGGTTGTAAAAGGTTTCACATGCAGAGGAGGTGGCTTTGGACCTGGCCCTGGAGCCAGATGGGTTGGGGCACAGCCACATTATCTTTGCATCTTGGGTCTTTCTCTTGGTTCCAGATGGTTCTTCCCTGACTCATGGCTTATTTGTTCACCTGCACCCACTTCACTATCTGAAAGTATAGTCATGTTATTATATATATTTTTCCCCCTTAGAAAATAAGTTTCATGAGTAGGGTATCCAAGCTATTGTTTCTAGCTGTGTTCCCATCACCACCAAGCAGAAGGGTCTTAGTACTTACTTTTGTGAAGAATGAATTAGTTCTGATGTCCTCAGTGCCCCCATCCTCTTTGTACCATGTTTTTGAACTGAGAACCTTCATGACCCCACGGTAAAGAGGACACAGAGGGGTAGAGTTGGAGGGAGAGGTGATAGTCATGGAGCTTGGTTCTTATTAGGTGCTGGGTGCCTTCTTGGAAGTACTAGATAGAGTGGTCATCTTTCTTCCTCGCTGCTTTTCGAGTGCCCCCAACTTCTGTCTGAGCTTTATGACCTTCACAAAGAATGAACTCTTTCCTCCAGAAGAGCACTCATCAGGACTCTCGCCACCAGAGTTTGGATGTCCACCACCTTCAAAGCCTCTTTCCCCTCTTTTCTCTGAGTTTTCTGTCACTGTTTCCTACTATATTCTCTCCTCTACTGGGAAGCAATGATTCTTTCCTGGCAACCTATCCTTCCTGACAAACAGCTCTGCTGAGTTTAGGTCTTTCTTGGGCATAGGCAGCTGTCTATTAACATTAGGAAGGCTGTTGGGTAGCCAAGGCCTGCCTTAGCGGCTCCCTGCTCTGAATCTTGGAGAGATGATATACTAAATCAGTTATTGCCTTCGGCTTGCTGTCCAGTAGATTAGCACTCCTACCCAGTGGTCTGCCAGCACTTACTGGAGCTGAGTTACTCTAACTACTGCGGAATTGGTGCAATGGCTAGGATTCATGTGGACTGCAGGGAAGCCACCTCTTCCAGAATATTCTTTCTGAGTAACCTTTGTTCTGTGGTCAAGGGGTGTCCCTTTCCATGTTCCAGATTTTTAAAGAATTTGCCATGTTTCTTCAATATTGCCAGATCATCATTTTATAAGCTTGAATCTTTTCTAGTTTTTATGAATAGTTTGACAACAGAAGAAAGGCATGACTCCAGCTAAGACTCTGCTAGATATAGAACTTGCCAGCTCCAGGAGCCTGTCCCGTGAGGGGCCTGACTTCATGTTGAGTGACAGCCCTTGTGGTTGCTGATGCTGTACGCACCCTATAAAAGTCCACATTTGCCTTAAGAGTCCTGAGCCAAGAGTATAGATATGCACAGGGGTATCTTGCAGCCTTCTAGGTGCCTGACACATATTCCTCCCCCCTGCTCCTCCTTTCGGTACTTTGGTTCAGGAATACACAAATATCTTTTGTCTTTTCAAATTCACGTACTTGGTAGTCAGGTCGGTGTTTTACACATGAATGTGTAGAAGGGTGCCCTAAAGTTTACAGCTCAGTTTTCCTCAGAGTAGATTTATACTCCCTGACTCCTTGGGTTTGTCCCTCACAATAAGGTCCAGGCCAGTTGATGCTTCAGCCTACTGAGCCTACTGAGATCCTGCCTAGTGAGCCAGAGTTGGGCCCATGTCAGCCTGCAGTGTTACTGTCATACTGAGCTCTCTGGTCTGCAACATAAATGTGATAAGGTTGTGACCCCCAAGGCTGGTTACAGAGCCCCCTTTCTGTTTTCTTTCAGGGCTCTTTTTACCTATGAAGGCAACAGCAATGATATCCGTGTGGCTGGCACTGGGGGTGAGTATGAACAAGCAAGAAAACAAGGAAAGGAATGGGTTCTCAGGAACATCAGGAGACAGGTGATGGGGAGGAAGGGTAAAGTGTATGAAGAGAGAAAGTTGTGACTGCCAGTACTCTGTTGGCTGGTGTTTCAGCTATCTTGAGGGGAAGCGGACTAGGGGCACACAGATGTCCTTGCATGTGGCTCAATTGTAGTGTTAACTTCCCCTGGCTAAGGGTGAACCCCTACCAGTGTCAGTTTCAGGGAATTCCCCTCATAAGGATATAGATGAGGTACAGAGACTCCAGCCAGCCAGCCAGGCAGGATAAAGGATTCAGCCTAACAGGGCACTCACAGCTACCTCTTACTGACTTTGGATTACAGATGTTTCTAAATGAAAATACTCTAAATGAAAATATTCTTCCCTGACTTTCTTGCCATGATAATGCAAGACAGCCTGTACTGTACTAAGGATGAATTGCAGGTGGAAATGAGAAACAGGCCTGCTCTCTCCACCTTGTGGATAGTCTGTGGCCTGGCCCATGCTGCATCCTTAGCCTTGAGCTGCAGCTGAGCTCTGGTAGACAAAAGCAAGATGTGCAGGTCCCTTCCCTCTGCCTTCCTACTCGTGGGAAGAAGTGTAAGTAGGAGAGGTAGCATCTATGCACATGAATCTGCTGGGCTTGGATCAGGGACAGGTATGATCTGAAAAAGTGCTGCTTGAATATGGGGTGACAAGAGGTCTCTGCAGGAAGCACAGGGTTTTTTGCCGGCACTGGGTAGAGGTTGTCAGTAGGCTGTACCAGAGACAGTGAGTGATAGGATGCAACTCACTTGACCCAACCACACACAGCTTCATTATCTAGTGAATGCTTGCTGGTGTGTTCTCTGCTTGTTATGTGAGTGGTTCTGGTGACCTGTTATTGGAAAGCTGCTCCCTCTTATGAGCTCCTCTACCTAATGGTTCCCCCTTTTAGCACTGCCACTGATGGTAGCCTCAAGTGCACCGTAAGGCCATTGGTGACAGAATTACAGAGTTCAGCAACTTGATATTCCTGCTACTATTCCTAGTAGTAGTCATGGGGCTGTGGTGTGAGTATCCAGAACAGGGACTCAGGACTGCCCCAGGTTCTATGAAACCCCTATAACTGAAATACCTGATCCAGCTCCTCCTTGCCATTTAGTAAGCAGGCTTATAAAAACTTCAAACTCTAATGTATGATGGGCCCACAGCCTCAGTGTCAGGCAAGAATGGTTTAGGGCATCCTCCTTGATACTCTCTCTGAGAATCCAAAAGCTGAGCCAGTACATGACTTTGGGACATGCCTGTTTGCTTGCAACCCTCCCCCAGAAGCTGAGCAGACATGTTGATGATGCACTACAGACCCTGTCATTGCAGGGCTTTTTGTGGTGTCTAGTGAACAGTTATATTGTCACATGGACCCTCCATTTGGAATCTGTGTATGGTTTGTAATAGAAATGACATTTTCCTTTCTAGACTTACCTTGGGTTTAACAGCATGGTTTTTAGACTAGTATGGGTAAAAAAAAACATGTGAGTTACCTGTCACAAATGTAGGTCCTGGGTCCCATGCAGCTCTCATAAATAAGCTTAGTGGAAGTGATTCTAGGAATCTAACTGTAATGTAGTTAAGGCTGAGAATCTTGGTTTAGAGGCAGTTTAAACTTCATTTCCTGTTGGACTAGGTTCTGGGGCAAGCAGGGGTGCGTCTGGGCTACCTCTGACCCTCCTTGTGACTGCTGCAGAGGGGGGCCTGGAGGAGATGGTGGAGGAGCTCAACAGCGGGAAGGTGATGTACGCTTTCTGCAGGGTGAAGGACCCCAACTCTGGCCTGCCCAAGTTCGTCCTCATCAACTGGGTATGTGTAATTTGAGGGCTCTAAGTTGTCATGTAGGTGTGACCCAGATAAATTTCTTTTCTTCTTTCCTACTTTGCCTTTCATGATTGGAGCAGAGGAGGACTTGACTTCAGGACAGCCAGTAGTTGGTACTTGTAATGGATTAATTCATTCTGGCTCAAAGAATACTTGGGGCCTTCTTAGTAGAGAATTCATCCTCCAAGCCCAGTATCACTCCTACAAAATGAGACAATCAGAGGACACTGTTGCCTTGTCTTCTTTGGGGTAGATCATCCTGAGGGAGCAGAGGGTATGGAGAAGGCCACGGTTGGGGTTTTAACAGAATCCCAGGTGGAAACAATTCTGCAGTGGAAGCTGGCAGCTGTCCTCCCCCAGAGAATCTCTGGGCTTGGAGGTGAGAGAGATCACCTTGTCCTCTGTGTTGGGGTTGCAGTTTTCTTTTTTCTGGGGCTTTTGGGAAATTTCCAAGTCTCTAGGGGAGGGAAATGGTTTTGTGGGGAGGGTTCCCCAGATTGCAAACTGGGGAAGGAGAGTCATGCTGGGTATGTTGTTGCAGACTGGCGAGGGCGTGAATGACATGCGGAAGGGAGCATGCGCCAACCATGTCAGCACCATAGCCAACTTCCTGAAGGTGAGGGCCACCCCAGTCTTGTTCTCTCCCCAAAAGGGCCTCAGAGTTCCCCAGGCCCGAAGGTTCCTGGGTGTGACTGAGTGGGAATCACAGCCAGAGGTGGAAGTGTTGACACATCTTGATGCTCCCTCCAGATTCAGGATAAAAGCAGAGGCTACTGTACTCTTGCTCAGCAAGTGCTTGGGAGACTAGGATGTGACCAGAGCCATCTGCAGGTTGGCCTCAGCAGGGATGAAGGACAAAGAACTCTCCTTTTTGACCACAAGGAATCTTGGGTTCTGATTATTTTATGAGTGCTACGAACATTTAGCTATGTTGTCAGAATTTGAAGGGAAAAGTTACTTGTTGTTCCTTTCTAATCCATTTCTGCATGAATTTATGTCAGTCATAATTTTATAAGCATTTTATGAAAAAGGTTTGTTGTTTGCTTGTCAGATGACTGTTCTTCAGTTACTGGCAAGAAGGCAGGACTTTAATTTCTAGTTCTGTCAACACTTCTTCAGTTACACCTGTTTTTTCCAACTTATGATCGTAAGCCTACTGGGTATTTAGTAAACAGTGAGGAAGGCCATGGGGTTGACTTTTCAGGAAGCCTTGCTTTCCTGAAAATGTGTCAGCTCCCAAATACCTTTAAGGTTAGCTTTCCTTGATTAGAAAAGAAGCCCTTTAATGCAAGTCTGTACTGAACTGCAACAGAGACCATATAGCTACAGAACAAGACACAGGCTACTACTCCATGGAAGTCAGGGCCTTATACATGAGCTAGGACACATATGGGACAAACATAGGGTTTGTCTCAGGTGGTTTGTCTGAGCCCATAAAAAGAGTGTGCCTCTGATCCTAACCTGTGTCAGGGTGTTGTGCAGAGTAGATTGTGGTTTGCAGCTTGTCCCCTTTTGGGGTTGCTGTGCCTTCCATTAAATGCTGTTCCTACTGCAGGGGGCCCATGTGACCATCAACGCAAGGGCTGAGGAGGATGTGGAGCCCGAGTGCATCATGCAGAAGGTGGCCAGAGCCTCAGGTGCCAACTACACTTTCCACAGGGAAAGTAGCTGCTTCCAGGACACAGGCCCTCAGGCCCCTGTGGTGAGTGCTGCCTGGGCTCTAGGGCAATGGAACAGGAGTGTGTAGTTGCCAGCATTCAGACTATCTGAACCTGCTCTCAGCATTTTACCTACCTGCCTGGCTTCCAGTCCCTGAGCTGAATCGAGGTGACCCCATGCCTGGCAAGAACAGGAGCTGCATCCTGATGAGGCAGGTGCTAATGGGCATAATGAGTCACCCTCAACCCTGCCTGGTAGTTCCACCAGCCTTTCTGAAGGCTCTTATGCCAGCTCTCTATGACAAGAAATTATTGGCAGAGAATTTAGAGCCCATAGCACCAGTGTGTCCTTTGTGGTCACAGATGGTGGCCACCATGGAAGTGGCAGTCAGGGCTTGCCCCTCTGCATCACAGGTAGACACCTGTTAGCTGTGTTTACTCTGATGTAAGGTAGAGAGCTGAGTTCTCTGATGCACAGTTGGTTGGAGTCTATAGGAATTCCATGGATACTGCCATACTGGTGAGTTGTCTGGAGGTGGTGGACTAGCCGCTAGGATCAGCCCCTGGACAGAGGCTTCCAGGAATCTCAGGCAGGCCACAGGGACCTTTCCTGCCCTGGCTCCCATCCACAGGTGCCTGATGTAACCAGAGACCCCTGCAGTAGTGTCTGAGCCTAGGCTTTCTCACCTGGTGATTTCCAGCACCTTTCAGGCCATCTTGATGTCAGTTTCTTTAAGGGTCATTAGGCCAGATACCCTTGGCTTTACCAGGTGTCATGCTAGCAGTTCTTGCCTGTACTTTATACTCCTGTCAATGACTCTGTAGTGAATTCTCTGCTCTGCAGGGCTCTGTGTACCAGAAGACCAATGCTGTATCTGAGATCAAAAGGGTGGGCAAAGACAGCTTCTGGGCCAAAGCTGAGGTAAGTGCTGCCTGGGGCATGAGTATGCCAGGCATGCAATAAATATTTTACTTGCTGTATCTCACTTTTCTCATAGTGAGCTCATGGAGCAGATGTTCTTGTTAGTAAGATGGTAAAACTGACACTTAGAGGGGTTAAGTGACAAGAGTAGTGAGTCTGGCTCTCAAGCCCACACTTGACCATGCTCCTATGCAGACTGCAGCCTCTTAAAGGGTACCTTGCAAGGATGTCTACAATGAGTTGTGTCCTTTCAGAAGGAATGACTTGCTAAGCCTGGCCTGGGTAGGATTGGGCTAAGAGGACAGAGTTCACCTTGATAGTGCAGGAGCAGGGCATGAGCAGGGAGGGGTGGGCATGGCTCTTTCTGCAGAAAGAAGAGGAGAACCGCAGACTGGAGGAGAAGCGGAGGGCGGAGGAGGAGCGGCAGCGGCTGGAGGAGGAACGGAGGGAGCGTGAGCTGCGTGAGGCCACCCTCCGGGAACAGCGCTATTTGGAGCAAGGCAGGGAAGCTGACCCCCAGAGGTGAGTCCACAGATGAGGTGGGAGACTGCCACCTAGGGCCTACCTCAGGACCTTTCATTCTCCCTGGGAGTGTCCTGAGGAGGAGAGGAGGGCATTTGATGGGCTGGGCTCCAGCTTTTCCCTCTGCCCCTCCCAGCAGGAAGTATGAACAGCAGGAAATGGTCTCAAGGAACAGAGAGGATCAGGTGAGATATGGATGCTTCCACTCAGAGGGGCCATCACAGTAGTGTCAGAGTTTCAGATCTACACACACTTTTCAGCAGAAGTGGAAGCTGCTTGCTATAGGCTATGTTGATTGTGTGGGTTCTTCCTGACATGCAGACCCTAGCTGTTCTTGGCCTCGGGAGTCTAAGGGAGGGAGTTACTGTGAGAGTCCTCCAGCCAGCCTGTGATACCCTTTGGTACATCAGAGGTGTGAGAAAAGTAAGGGCAGAAGCTCATGGACTCACCCTGGTCCTGAGAGAGGCCCTGTGAGCCCTTCAGCTTTGGTGTTTTGCTTCCTGACTACCCACCCCCTACAACCCCACCCACACAGCTGTGGAAAGCCTGGCAGGCAATGGGCTTATGGGTTTTCTCATTGCTGGGTCAATGTGCGCTCTCCAGGAGCCTGTCTGTCAGCAGCCAGCACACCCTCGGGATATTTTCAAGCAGAAGGAGAGGGCCATGTCTACCACATCTGTCTCCAACCCCCAGCCAGGTGAGACATCCTTCCAGGCAGAGCCATGAGACAGGGCTGGCTGAGGCCGAGTCTGGAATCTCAGTTCAAAGGTCCCCAAAGCTACTGACAAGTGTGTCAGAAAGTGACAGGAATGAGTGAGCAAGAAGAACCTGTGCTCATGAAGGCCCTTTCTGGGAGGGTGTGCCTCATGTTCCCTTCTTGCCCCAGTGGGAAAGGAAGGGCCATATGTAGAAATATAGCTCCACAGTGGAGACCTCCCAGCCCTGTTCCCTAAAATCCTTGGTACAGATTACACATGGGGCCATTAGCTGGGTCTTGGACTTGTATCAATCACCTCTCAGGCCCCCAAAGTACACAAGACTGCACTGTCAACTGGCTCACCCACCTGTATGTGGCTCTTGTATGGGGCTGCTTAGAGTGTAGTTTGTGCTCACACACACGTGAGTTGGGGGGGGAGGGTTACACACCAGGTGCTATTTCTGCAGCTGCTGTGTGTCCCTATTCACTATGTGACATTCACTATCCGGGACAGGTCCAACCTCTAGTCAGTGCAGGGCATAGAGAAGGTAGAGAACTCTTTGTTCTTACCCTTTCCAGCTGCGTGATACCACATGTGTTGTTTATCTTCGGTTTGCAGGCAAACTAAGAAGCCCCTTCTTGCAGAAGCAGCTTACCCAACCAGAGACCCCCCTTGGCAGAGACCCAACTCATACCATCTCAAGGCCCAGAACAGGCAAGGCACTTGGCAGCAGGGGATGAAGAAGAGGAGTGATGTGTGGGTGGGTGGGAAATGGGGATGTTCTCATATTTTCCTAGGGTCAGAATGGCCTTAATCCTCCCTTTCAGATCTCCATGAAGAGGCAGTATGCAGAGCCTCTCCATGTCCAGTGCAGGCAGGAGAAGAGGCTGTGTATGAGGAGCCCCTGGAGCAGGAGACTTTCTACGAGGAGCCCCCAATGGTGGGTTCCTTGCAGCAGGGGTAGGACTGTGAAGGGGCCATGTGCCGAGAAACACCTTCCTTATCCTTATGGACCATGGGACACTTTTTTCTGTGGCTCATTACATTCTTGATTGTCATGTTTCATCTGGAAATTATCATGTGCTCTTAGTTGCCTAGCCAGAATGCTGGATTGGGGAAGCCATCTAGCAGACAGGGAGGAACAAAAGCAGCTCCTACCCTCTGGGTGCTGTGTCCTCTCAAGTCTGCACATGGCAGTGGGCAGGCCCTGTTCTGCAATAACCAAGACCCCAGTCTGCTCTTCTCTTCCATCCATGGGCAGGTTCAGCAGGATGCTGGCTCTGAACACACCGACCATTACCCAGGGCTGAGTGGGAAAGGGCTCTGTGCCCGTGCCCTGTATGACTACCAGGCAGGTAATGTGTTGTTTCCTGGCCCCCTCAGACCAAAGGGCCCAAGATTGAGAGACAGATTTCTGAGGCTACTTTGCGGGGGACCATTCAGGGGCTTTGGAAGATAGGAGGCTGAGAAAGGAAAGCGCAGAGATGCCCTGCACATCCCAGGCCGTCTCACATGTTCTGGGCATTTACCTGATGTCCACTGGCATTAGTTATAGTTGCTAGTTTTATTCTGGAGCTAAGTAGGTCAGGCCTGGACACCAGTGCCCACTCTGGGTGAAGGTCTCAGGCTCATGTGTAGACCTGCTATACTCCAGCCTTTTGCAAGAGCAGAGGACACAGAGTGAGACCCTTTAGGAAGGTGTGTCTTCAGGGAATGACCATTTGAACAGTGTCAGGACAGAGTGGGGGCTGGTGTCCAGGGCCCCAAAGCCCTCAACCACAGCATCTGGGTTCACTTTCCTTACAGCTGATGAGACAGAGATCTCCTTCGACCCTGAGAACCTCATCACAGGCATCGAGGTGATTGATGAAGGCTGGTGGCGTGGCTATGGGCCAGATGGCCACTTTGGCATGTTTCCTGCCAACTATGTGGAGCTCATTGAGTGAGGATCACTGCTGCTGAAGGCTGAGGGCCATCCTTCCCTTCCCCACCCGTACATGATTTCCTTATTGCTGAAAAGGTGATGGAAAAGTTACAGACGTGTATGGCAGTCTTCCAGGAAATGGATCCCCTGATGATGAAGACACAGGCTCCCTCTGGCTTAGGTGGCTCAACCTCTGTCATCCTGAATGCAGCTATAACCTTGTGATTCCCAAACATGCTTCTAACAGCTTCTCAGACCCTCTCAACCAACCTGGCCTTTGACCCCAACAGAGGACACTGAACCAAGCCCCACCATGGCCAGTCCATTGGTGACCTCTGTCCTACACAAAGAGGACAGCACTGCCCATCTGGGAGTACTAAGAGGGTCATCTACAAACTTCCTGTCCACAGTGCAGGAGCCTTTCTGCTTTTGCCTTTTTCCCCCTTTTCCTCTTAACTTCCAATGGATAGGGGCTACAGCTATTTAGTGACCCTTGGGAACAGTGAATTTAGTGTTTATGACCAAAGGTGGTTCTTTCTGGTTCTGTGCTCTCCATTTCTCTGACTGAGCACTGGAGATAGGGACTACCAAGCCCCCATCGAAATGTATGAAGGAAAATGAAAACATCAACAGACACCAAGTGTCCTTCCATGTGGTTCACTTTTGTCTGCTGGCCCCAGCATGTGTCTCAGCTGATTCTAGTTCAGGAAAAGTAACTGGAGTAGCTCACACCTGCTCTCATATCCTGTTTCTGTCCTGGTCTATCTGGGTCTGTGTTTGAAGCAAGAATTACCTCACACAAGCCCCAACTCTGCTTTGTCCTCTGCTCTGTCTTTCCACTCTCATGTGGAAAGAAATCTCTTCCTGGATGTCTGTGGTGTATAAGTGTGTGCGTGTTTGCGTGTGTGCATGCACACACCCCAAACCTCTGCTGACTGTCAGATACCTATAATAAGCATAAATGTTAAAATGTGACTGAAGTCAGCCTCCTGCATTTCAGTTCTCTTGTGGAGTTTGAGGGTTGCCCTGTTCCCTGCCTTGGGGAGCCTATACCTATGTGGGATATATCATGTATGCACATGTACATGTGAGTGGAGTGAGGCACCTTCCTCACCTAACATTTGTTGTACCCTGGGAGTTGCTAGAGGACACAACTTAGGATGAAGTCTGTGCCAAGGAGATTGCCGGTCCCAAGTAGTATCTAAGTCTAGTATGCCTCCCTGCTTTGTGGTAAGAAGCCCATCCAGTCTGCCCCTTTAACAGGTAGGCCTTAACAAATCTTTTTTTCTCTCCCATGAAGATAGCAGCACCCAACCCAACTATGTAGAGACCCTATGAGTTCATGTTGCCAGCTTTGAGGCCAGTTGTGGGCTTGTCTGCCTCCAGGGTCTGTAGGGAAAGCATAGGACAAGCCGTCTGAAGGAATGCCATGAAATAGTGTCCTGATCACAGTCCTTGCTCACTGCATGGTTAGGTTCAAGTGACCCAGTAACCCTGATTCTAGAACAAGGTTACCAAGTGGCTCTTAAGCTCATAAAGGCTTGTTAGGAGCGTCCTTATGACCAGCGATGGGTGTCAGGCTGCTGCCCCCGCTCTGTTAACCTAATGGAGGTGGGATGGGCCAGTCCTCCTAAGGCAGTGTTTGTAGGATCACGGGAGCTAGGCCTGTGAAGCCAGCCCTGAGTGAGTGCTGGGGAATGGGTATCTTTCAGTCCTGGGTGCTGGAGTGTGGAGGGTAGGCATCTTTTAGCTCACGTGCCAGTTATGCCTTTATTCATCAAAGACCACCCTTCACTTGGCCTTGCCCTGTGCAGCCACTGCCTCCATGGCCTTTCGCACTGTCTCCTCATCACCCAGGAACCGCATTGGCTTGGTAGGCTTCAGCTCTTTGTCCAGTTCATACACGATGGGAATCCCCGTGGGTAGGTTCAGTTCCATGATGGCTTGGTCTGACATCCCTGGACCAGATGAATAGTATCCTTAATCCCTGTAGCCTGTCTACCCGGCATCTGTCTGCTCTTGCATTCAGCAGGCTCTGTGACCTTAATGGGTCACAGAATTGGTTGACCATGCAAGCCTCCCACCCCACATGGCAAGGATACAGACTAAAGCAAGGCTGGAGAAGGTCAGGGCAGAACTGAGTCAGATGGAATGGCCTACAGAAATAGCTGGTAGTAAACCAAGGACCTTGCCCCTGCCCTGAGTGGCTGGGGCTTGGGGCAGTATCATCTGCTGTTTTTTCAGCCTAGCAAGAATTCTGACTGATTCTAAAGTTCTAAATTTTAGGCATCCTGAACAGTGTGGGGGTTGCTCCTAAGAAACTGGAGAAGGGACAGTGACAGGACAGTCTGCTGATCCAGCAGAGATGGACTGACACTCTGCCAGGTAGAAAGGGTGTTTCCCCATGGAAACCAGACCCTGCTGGCCTCTGTAGTCCCAGGCCCAGAATAGTAACTTGACCTTTGGTGTTCACATCACCCCCACTCCCTATATGCAATGTGAGCTTAAGAAAGCATTTTCTGGGCTGTCAGAGACCCAAATGACTTTCACCTGGGTGCATCCCTTTCATAATGGACTGAAAGGTGTAGGCTGCAGGAAGCCCCCAGAAGGGAAGAGCAGAAGATAGTCTTATCTGTTGGGCTCAGTGCCAGCCAGTGTAAGATACCTGCCAGTGGACCTGGCAACCTGAGGAGGGCAGAGCCTCTACTCTGACCAGCTGCCAGCTGACACCCAGGAACAAGTTTGGGCCTACCACACTACCTAACTTCTGTGATCCCAATGAGCTTAATGGCTAATAAGATGCTATTTTAGACTATCCTGATCTCTGGAAATCTTCACAGCCTGTGGAGCTGTCTTAAGTGGTATTCAAACGAAGTGAAGGACTGCAGTCAGCCATTCCTGAGGGGCCTCCTTCTGGTTTTTTACTGGGAACACAGCTACAAATCTGGGGTCTCTACAGTACCATATACTGCATCCTTTTGGCTGGTCTTAATTTGCCCGGAGTGGGTGTAAGGTGGGGTCATGGAGCCCCAGGGCCCTAGAGAAGGTAGGTGAGACTTAGTGAATGAAGTGACCTTACGTTGGTCAGACAGTCCACCTTTTTCAGATTGGGTGTTGTGGGCAAGGTGTCACCCACCTTCTGAGCCTTCCCCACCTCTGGATGGGGCCAGCAGCCCTAGGACCTGCATTAGTGGTGGCAGATTTCACCCACGGCCTTCAGAAAGACTCATTTTCAGTGTCCCAGTACAAACACAGGTACAAAACATTTTCCTAAGCTGTTTTTTAAGCACGGGGCAGGGGGGGGGTTCGGTTTGGTTTGGGGTGTTTTTGATTTTTTTTTTTTTTTTCTTTTGGGAAGGTTTTTCTCACTCCTCCCAGTTTCCATTCAGTTTGAAAATCTCACTCTGGGGGCAGAATGATCAAAGTTGGCTCAACCTGGCATTTTGCTGAAGTGAGAACTTGGGGGTAAACTGGTTTAAGGGTCTCATCACCCCCACCCCCACCCCTCTGGAGGTTGGGCCTCACCTTCCAGATGCTTGACAATGCCCCGAAGACTGTTCCCGTGAGCCGCAATAAGCACTCTCTTGCCAGCCTTGATCTGGGGAACGATCTCCTTATTCCAGAAGGGAAGGGCCCGGGCAATGGTGTCCTTGAGACTCTCGCAAGTGGGCAGTTCCTCGGGTTTCAGATCTGCATACCGACGTTCCTGGGGAACATCCACGCCGGCGTTCCAGTCGCTGGCAATGGCGCCGCCCCACCCCCACCTCCCCTGCACCTCCCCTCCTCTCCTCCCTGAGGGCCCCGCCCTCGGGTTCTCCCTCCGGTGACCCCGCGCGAGGCCCACCTTGCTGATGGTGTTGTAGTAGGGGTGCTTCTCGTCCATGGGAGGTGGAGGGATGTCAAAAGAACGCCTCCAGATTTTCACCTGCTTCTCCCCGTGCTTCGCGGCCGTTTCTGCCTTGTTGAGGCCGGTGAGGCCCCCGTAGTGCCTCTCGTTGAGCCGCCAGGTGCGGACCACCGGCAGCCACATTTGGTCAGTGCCGTCAAGGATGGTCCAGAGGGTGCGGATGGCCCGCTTCAGCACCGACGTATAGCAGATGTCAAACTCCATCTTGGCATCCTTGATGGCCTTGGCCCCCCGCTTGGCCTCCTCCACCCCCTTCTCGCTCAGTTCGGCATCAAACCAGCCACAGAAGCGGTTCTCCTGGTTCCAGATGCTCTCGCCGTGACGAACCATCACGAGGCGGTAGGTGGACATAGTGGTGGAGGCAATAGGGGCTGTGACGGCTCCAGACAGGACAGCTGCCTCCCCAGAGTCCCCAGCTTTATAACAGTTTGTCCCCAACCCCCACCCCAGTCAACTGCCAATCAGCATTCCAGGCCTGACTGGCCTAGGCAGGTGGCCAGTAACCAGGATTGTGGGGGAGGGCAGGCCAAGAGCTGGATTTAAAATAGACACACCAAGCCACCAACAAGTCACTCATCCCCAGAGCCGAGGTTGTGTGGGGCAGCATGGTGCAGTAGGGTTGGGCTTGAAGAGTAGAAGTCTGGTAGGCTAGCAAGTGCAGTAGGTGGGGACTAGCAGGAACTGAGAGGATATCCAGGGAAAGACCTTGCCTAAGGTCTGGGTTCCTTGGACCCTTCAATTCTTCTGTGGGTCTATACTCAAGGCAGAGACATAAAAACAGTCCTGGCTGTTTTCTCCTGATCACTCTTTACATAACTAGGGACAAGTATTTCAGTAGGAAAATTGGCTTGGTGTCAAGGGGGAGCCAAGGGACCCATGTGTGTTTGTATGTTTACCCATGCACACGTCTTGTGCATCTACATACATATGTGTGTTGTGCATATTTGTGTCTGTGCATGCATGCCTTTGTTGTATTGTGTGTAGGCAGTGTCTGTTGTATGCATTTGTGCACACATGTGAGCTGCCAAGTTTCCCCCAGTGACTTACTCAGCTACTTATTGTTTGGGGAGGATTCCTTAGTAGTCCTGACCATACCCCTCCTCTTTCTAATTCTCCATATGCTGAGAGGCCCTCTGCTCCAGCAATGCCCAAAGGATAAGGTCTGTGGGATCCTGGGTCTAATAACCAGGGTTCAAGGGGGTTCAGCTTCTTCTCTACAAGTTCCCTCAAGGAACAGAAGAGAGGAAAAGTTACTGTGGGACCCTGAGGCAGGGGAGCATGTAGGGACTGTGGCCCTGGGGAGAACGGTCCAACCTTGCAGGAGAGGACACTGGGCAGCAGTGTGGGCAAGGAACTAAGGACAAGGTGGGCAGAATTGGGTTTCCGGTGAAATGGAACAAACTCAGGGGAACTGAGAGAGACCTAATTGGTGGGTCCTCTCCTATGCATTTATGGCTGCAGAGCACAACTCAAAAGAGACAATAGCAGGATTTATTTACGTAAATAAATGTAAAAAAAAAGTAAAATGTAAAAACCGGTGGGGACAAATCCACACCTGGAAGGGAAGGGAGAGCTAAGAGAGTATTTATAAGCTAACACATGGCCACATGCTGACTGTCCTACCCCAGATATTCCACTATGCAGAGAGAAGTCCAAGCCGAAACTGTATGTCAAGCTAGGGCCTTCTCCACAGACACCCCTCCTCACTAGCAGTTTAAGAGGTTCAGCTCCACCCACTTTTCCACATCACTCCTGCTCAGAGGGTGAACATTCTGTTGGAACATCCCTATGCAGACAAGGATCAGACTCTACCCCCTGACATCTGGGGAGGATGCCCACCCAGTGCCTTGCTCTAAACTCTGTCCGTGAGGTCCTAATGAGGGAGCTTCTGGGAAGGGACAAAGCTGAGTGGCCAAGTTATGGGAGCTTTTGATAGAGAGCAGTGCTTGTAGGCTCACGCTTTTTAGTTGGAGTTGCTGTGAAAGACAACTGCCCTGCTGGGACAAACCTTCAGTACCCCACAGGGTGAAGGAGACCACAACCTTAGCAGTGGCAGAACTCTGCCACCCCTGCTGTCTCCTGTCGCTACAGCTAACATCTCACACCTTCAATAACTGGACTTTCTCCCTCTCCCTCTGCCCTGATAGTTAAAATAAATTGTTGGGTGTTTTTTTTTTTTTTTTTTTTTCCTTTTTTGCTGCACCAAAGGCTCTTTTGTTTGCTTTTCGGTGGAAGGTGGACATACCCAGAACCAGTGAAAGAGTTTCTGACCCAGTGATAGTTTTGAGATCCTTTGCCCAGTAACACATCTACCATCAAGTTGTTTTCATGAGGTGGAATTTAGAAAGCACCATCTACCAGAGAGTTGACTATGGGTGCCACCCACTGCTCAGAGGTTCTCACTGTTCTTATACCAGGACAGGCAAGGAAACTGGAGGCCTAATTGCCTGGGTAAAAGAGGATCAGGGGGTTCTTTTGCTCCTCTTGGATCCCTTTGTTGAGTTCCTGCGCATGTCTGCTACTTTCACTGACCCATTCTGCCTTCACACAAGTCAAATCACCTTTATCATCTGAAGCAATCTCTAAGAATAAAGAGAAGGACCCAGAATCAGAAGTTGCCTCCAGGGTCAGAGGAACTGCTGCTAAGCCCATGCCCAGCTTAGCAGAAAAACCCAGAGACAAGCTGAAGTTGGAACTGGGGAGCAATTTTGCATTGGGTGTAGGCCCAGGACTTCTGCACTCAGGTTTTGGGGGGCAAGGGTCACTGGGGCAGGGGTTATAAGGAAATTGTGGGACTAGTTCCCCCAAAAATATCAGATAGCTTTTTCCTCACATGCCCAGAGTAGACCTCTTATCACTTTGGTGTGAGAAATAGAGGTCAATCTAGTGAACTGTGGGATGTCTATTGCTATTACTTAAAGAATAATATGTTTTGCTTTGAGAATAGTGGGGACCCTGAAGTCTAGTAGGAACTCTATTCTTGCCTAAGTTCTCTGCCCGTCCCTAATGGAAAAAAAGATCCTGAGCTCCTGCCCTTTTCTAATAAAAACAACAATCACTTTTCTCCCTTTTATGACCTAGAAGAATGTGGTTTGGGAGTCTAACTCAGTTTTAACTTTATCAGTAAACATATTCTCTCTAAGAAATTTACCTGTACTTTCAGAGTAAGGATGAAGTCACCCCTTCTTATCTATCATGTGAAGTCTCCTCTCTGTCATTGATGTTCCAAGATGCAAAACACAGGACAAATATCCCTGATCCTCTCCATTATTCTTTAGAATTTACACCTATTTTCCACAAATGTGTTATCGAATTGATTGTTTTTCCTTTGCTAAGTCATCTGATGCTGTTTTGAAAATGTGTCCAGCCCAGGAAGAACCCAGAAGCAGTACAGGAAGACTTCTTTTGTGCCCCAACAATTTAGTGAGCCAGCCAGGAGAAACTTTACAATCTGGACACTCCTTGCTTCTGAAAGCTGCCACTGAAAGAGACCCTGGATAACTGACAAGAGCTGGTTAAAAGGTGAAAATTCTTACCAAGTCAGCTTGCTGAATATCTGTTTACCAGGCACTGAGGAGAGAGGTATCCAGTATCATTTAATAAGGTTAAAAACTAAGCCCCTTCTGCCCATTTTTTGACTGGGTTATTTTCTTTTTTTTTTTTTTATTCATTCATTCATTCATTTATTTTGTTTTGTTTGTTTGTTTTTACAAGCACTGGGTACAGTCAGAAGCGTGGGAGGGTGAGAGAATTCACCAGAGCCAGAGCGGGGAGCAGAGCAGGCAGAAGGACCAAAGTACACTGCTGAGGGGAGCAGCGGGCGGCAGGAAAGGTCTGCGCGCCATGTGGGACCCTCCTCCGGTGGCCGGGGAGCAGCCGGGGAACAAACCGGCGCCGCAGAGGCCGCGGGCAGCTTTGCAACCCAGCGCTCAACCGCTGCGCCACCGGGGAGGCCCTGGGTTATTTTCTTTGTTGTTGTTGAGTCTCATCAGCTCTTTGCAGATTTTTGTGATCAGTCCTTTATCATTAGTGTTGGGTGCAAAAATGTTCTCCCAGTCAGTGGGGTTTCTCTTTGTTTTTGTTATTGTCTCTTTTGCTGTGCAGAAGCTCTTTAATTTGATGTAGTCCCAGCTGTTTATCTTTGCCTTCACTATCACTGCTTTGGGTGATGTATCTGTAAAGATGTCTTTGATGTGCAAATCACGTAGTGTTTCGCCTATATTTCCTTCTATATATTTTATGGTTTCAGGTACTGTTTACAATAGCTAAGCTTTGGAAACAGCCCAAATGCCCAAAAATAGATGACTGGATCAAGAAGATGTGGTACATATATACCATGGAATATTAGTCAGCATTCAAAAAAGATAAACACATGCAATTTGCAGCAACATGGATGGCACTGGAAGAGATCATGATCAGTGAAATAAGCCAAAAAGAAAAAGAAAAATACCGGATGGTCTCACTCATAGCAGGAATCTAGAAAACTTAAATAAGGGACCAGGAAAATGAATAATTATAAGTAAGTGAAAATCAAAATCAACAAAAAACTATGAACCAGAGACACTTTTTGGGGGGTGGGGGGCGGGAGGGGAGGGATTGGGGTCAGAATGGGGGGGTTTGCAATTGTATGGGGAATATAAAAATAAAATTTATTATAAAAAATAAAAATAAAATTGTGCTGTCACTATGAAAAAAAAACAAAAAAACAAAACTAAGCCCTACTCCTTGCCCAGCAGGAAAGTTTGGAAAGCTTGAATAGATAAAGGGTTGCTATGAGAACTAGGGCATAAGACTTATCACTTTGACCATGAATGCAAAAGCAGGGCCAGGACACATTCCTCGTTAAAAGTCAACATCCAAGACCATACATCCCAGCAAATAACTGGCCCAACTCATTTTCCCCAGTCATGATAAGTCCACCAAAACAGGTTATAAAAGGGAACCCCAAATCCTTCAACCATCTGGTCCCCTGCTCCCTTGCCGGGTATTTCAAGAAATCTTCCTTTCTTGTTTTCCACTCAGTATTTTGTGAATTCTTTCACCCTCATGCCTCTGACCTTACCCCAGTATTTCTCCCCACTACAATTAGAGGTGATATTTTGCTTTCTAAATTTTGGACTGACAAAAATATTTTTTGTGAAGTAGTTTGCTAATACTTGATTTTCCGACTTTAAAAAATGTTGTCCTTTAATATTTTTATTATTTTAATGTTTGCTTTCTTACATCATTGTCCATTTATGTACAAGATTTGATTTCTCTCCTGTAGTTCTCTGACTACCATGGCATCCATGAACCATTACCATAGTCCCTTGTGCTCTTCCTTCCCCTCTTTTGACCCCTCTCCCTTTCCTTCCCCTGCTGCATGCATCAAACCTATGGTCAATTGCAAGTTTTGTCCTTTTTTCCTGACCCTTTTATTCCATTCCCCTATTTTCCACCTATAATTG